CAAAAAAAATCGTCGAGTAATTTTGGAGGAGGTAGCCAACAAGGTTAGCATCGGTAAGGCATCGGCACACAAGATTTTACACGAACACCTAGACATGAGCAAGGTAAGTGCCAGGTGGGTGCCTAGACAGCTGTCCACAGATCAAAAGGCAACCAGAGTAACCAATGCAAAAGGACATTTAAGTCGTTTTAATCGTGAAGGAGATAAGTGTTTGAACCGCATTATCACTGGAGATGAGATGTGGGTTCATTATTCCGAACCTGAGACAAAAGCTCAGTCAAAGCAGTGGAAACGAGCTGGTTCCCTACCTCCTAAAATGTTTAACCTGTCTCCTTCGGCTGGCAAAGTAATGCTTGTTGCCTTTTGGGATTCACGAGGAATGATACTTATTCATTTCATGTCAAAAGGTCAAACTGTCACCGCCAAGATTCTGAAGTAATTCTGAAAAATCTCAGAGAAAAGCTGAAGCAAATGCGTCCCAGGTTAGCAAAGAAAAATGTCCTCCTTCTTCACGATAACACCCCCTTTAATACCGCCGCAGCTACAGTGGCGGTTATCAACTCTTACAAATGGCAATTGTTGTCTCACCCTCCTTATAGCCCAGACCTCGCCCTTGTGACTATTATTTGTTTCCAGAACTGAAAAATTGCTTGCTGGAAAGAAATATAAGACCAGGGCGGCTTTGATATCTGCTGTTACACAGGTCTACGTCATGGTTCACTGCGGGAATACAAAAGCTCCCACGAAGATGGCAAAAGTGCGTAGATGTAGGTGGAGAATATTTTGAAAAACATGAAAAAGAGTAGAAAGATTTTTTTTAAAATGTTTAATGTTTTTTTAGAACGAGTCAAAAGTCCGGATATTTTCTGACTTCCCCTCGTACAATAACCATGAACTTACATGAAACTGTAGTTTATTTGGATCGAAAGTTAATAAAAATTTATATTCACATCGAGCGATCGTTAAACCTTAATCATTGTAAAAAATGAGCGAAATGAGTACAGACTCAATCAAACCGAGTCTGCAATTGTATAACATATTTTAATGTTCATCAGTGAAACAATGCATTGATAAGTATTTAATACCTATTAAAAAGAAAGATTGGAAAAATTATAGGGTTCACTTTTGTATTATACTTTACGCTTTCGGCTGTTCACTTTAATATGGTTGATAAAACAATTTTAATATAATACGAGCTTAATCAAATTTTATAAAAAAAATATATGTAAGATTATATTATTACTAAAATATATAGTTAACCTTTTGGAATGCATTTGGGAATGTTTGTCCATTGTCCCGTGTAGGAGCATAGTATTGTACGTTTTGATACACCCGTTGTTTGGTATTGATCAGTAACGTAGTAACCTAAATCGCACGTGACTTCTGCCGTATCGTTGTATTTAGTGTCACCATTCAAAAGAGTCCTATTAGCTGCACGTTCCATCCTGACATTCTGAACGTCTCCACAATCTTAAAGATAAAGATATTGTATGTTCAGATATAAACATGAAACTGTTTATTGAGTAAGACAATGTGACAAGCACTTGAAAGTGTTTAGAAATGAGTACTCTCAATCCGGTGCTACGGGGGTGAGGGATGTTACTGTTTTAATGCTTCCGAGGGATCACATTTTCTAGATAGTTGAAGATAATCATTGTTCTTAGCGGTATCATTAAAATAAAATAAGATAAATTATAAAAATAAAATATCGGTCTAAATCAGTGAAACAAAATAGCTAAATTACAGATAAATAAATGAATACCTTTTCTGACACATTTCGGTAGATTTTCCCACGTTCCGTTTCCGTTACATCTAACCACTGTGCTTGTTATTCCTAGTACCTGGCTACTTATTAACTCCTTATATCCCTCATCACAACTTATATTCGCCAGCGACGTATAGATTGTGGTTCCGTTGATAAGGCTTCTATCTTTTGCGTTTGACAAACTTAGTTGGTCCAATCTCCCACAATCTTGAAAAAATGTCAATGTTTCTTTTTTCTTTTTAAAAAATACTTTTGATAACAAATAAAACACGTTTTTGATAATCTATTTAAGAAAGACAGTTTTAAGTATAAAAGCAATTATTCATGTCTGAAGAAAGACAATGGGGTACATTTTAGCAGCAACACGACGAAAGAACATAACATTGTATTATGATAAAAGAAAATATACATTTCCTACCCTTCGGAACGCATTCTGGCACATTGATCCATGTTCCGGTATCAGAACATGTTATTGTTTGGGTTGATGTTCCAGCTGCTTGAATTCTTCCTTTAATATAATATCCGTCATCGCAGTCTATATCTGCTATTGATTTAAATTTAGTATCTGTATGTAGACGTCTGTGAACGGCATTAGTTATCGTAATATCTGTTAGGTTTCCACAATCTTATTAAAAAAAAACGATAATTGAACGAAAAGATTCAAATTTTGTTAACTGACCTTTTTGTCGTTACTCACATATAACAAATTCGACTTGTCAGAAGGATTGAAATGCAAAATAGTTAAAGAAATCACAGAAATACTCACAAAATTTTCATGATAATTGAAAAACATCATTTAATTATTAATGCTCGCAATATGGATGATATAATTTTCTTCATTCAAAAGACTGAAGAGTTATTGCAATTGTTGGTAAAGTATATATAGAGGAATAGTCATTACTATTAATTATCAATGTTTATGTTGATGCTAGGGAGTATGTTATATAACATCTCTACTTTAATCATGATGACACATTGTCGTCATTGCATACAAATGTTACGTTATGACACTAATTCAGTCGTATATCTACAACTGATTAATGTATTAATATAAATTAAAATAGCTTGGATTCTTACAACACAGTATTAATGTTAAGTGAGACGCTTCTAGACGTTAAATAACTAAAAGAAAATTTAATGAACCAAACACAATTTACCTTTTCTGACACATTTTGGCACTGTAACCCACGTCCCGTTCTTAGAACATTTGATCAGTGTTGATGATACTCCCTTCATCTGGGCTTTATTGTTATCATAGTACCCTGTTTTACATGTTACAGCAGCACTGGATCCGTATTTTGTGTCAGTAAAAAAGAGTCTGTTTGCAGCATTTGATATATTTAACATTTCAAGAGATCCGCAATCTGAAATAATAAGACACAGTTATTTTAAAGGACTATATATCAATTTCGCTTGCGGTTTCCATGTATTTCATGCATAATAGCAGAACATTTACATTTATTTATTAATATTCATTTGATAAAAGAAATAATTTGTTGAAAAGTTGAGATATGCAATAAGGGATGTTGATCAAAATATCCTTACTGTAGTAGTTTATGTTGCATTTGGTTGATTTGGGGTAAATTAACTTTTGAATTCATTCAACCATTACCAACAAATAGCAACGCATAAGTTATCAATTACTTATTACCTCGTTAAAAGTTATAATACAATTAATTATTATATACTAGTAGTTACATATAAATCCCACCCTCCTAAAATACGCAAAAATCTTGAAGGACGAATACGCTTCAACGGATAAAAAATATCTGTTTTATGTCATTCGAAACTGCCTCGGCTATTACCTATAATAACCTCAGAAACAATATGGATTGAAAGTAGTTCTACCATGTAAACAGAAACAGAGATAATGTAAAACGAATGTATATTTTTGACATCTAATGTCTGTTCCTGTACTCTTATGCTTGAAAATATGTCTGACAACAATTTGTAATTTAAATATGCCCACTGATATTCAGTTTAAACAAATCCGACTTAATGTCAACGAGTTGGTTTTTTGTACTTTCGATTTCAACAACCATAATAATAAATATATAAATAATGTATTGTTTACTTTTGTACCTATGAATTCACTTATTTAAGGTGGAATTTTACTTCATAAATTTACTTAATAAACTTTTCAACAACTCCTAGCATTAAATTACTACTTGTTTACATGTTTAGTTTCTTAGCGTAGGTTAGACCGAAATACCGTATCCGTTCTGTGTATTCATACTATTGTGTTCGAGGTCCTTATCAGAAGACTGACGGAAAGGGCCGAGTAGTTGCGATTGGTTTTATATTAGTGACGATACAGTACCATATAATAATAGAAGTGCCGGACTATTTTTCTCGGTTGATTCCCGCCTTTACTTTTCGTGACGTAGTATAAAGAAACGGGAACAAATACTTTATAGGACACTTTGTTGGAAATCCATTGCTATATTCAGTAACGAAATTCCTCAGTCAAATTATGCAGTTATATACATTTATATCAACATTTCTAACATAAAAAGGACACATTTTACACCGAATTTCAATATCTGATAATTAGCATAAATGATTTTATCTACCGTCGTCTGCAGCTATATACATGTATATAAGTCAGCTATCGGCGTACTTTCTGTGTGAATTTAATTGATGTTTTTAAAAATGAATATTTTGTGTGAAGCAGAAAATTCAATTAATCATTATATTTCTCAATGAATGAGGTCAACTATTTCTAACTTCACCGTATACATGTATATGACCGTACATGACAAAATACTGAGAGTACGTCGGTAATAGAGTTGTCCCGATAATACAGAGTTAGAGTATATAATTACCCCTCACTTTTCGTAATGTTAATTTCCCATAGGCCTCTGGGAGTTATTCTTACTGTTAATGCAAGTGTACCACGTGACTAAGAATTTTGTACTGTTACATAGGTAACAGTACTTTTTAACAGTATAAAATCTGGTCACGTGGTCTATTTTCTAAATAAGATAAAATAAAATGGCCGCCATTTTTTTCTCGATTCATTCTTATTTTCGACGTTTACCACGATAGGACATCACCATCTTCTCTGGAGTAACTATGACACCCATAAAATTTAGTTGTTTGCACCCTGGAGTGCTTTTCGCGTATAAAATATCTTTTGTTGAATAGTCAAAAAGTAAACATCCGTTTTTAACGGAAGAAATTGCAGTGTAAATAATTATGTGTCAAACTGGAACATGCAGACGATTTAAGCATCATGTAACAAAGGATTATTTAACAATTTTAATCAGTGAAACGTTACAGATATGGTGGACAGCCATAGGATATCATCGTTATTTTGTTAAAAATCATGCGAAGAATATTCTGGAAACAGAAGGATCAGATTTCACATATCATAACCGTAAAGATGGGTTAGTGTTTTGTTTTCTAAATAAAACGAAGCTTATTTTATGTGTATGACTAGTAGATATCATCACTAACTTAAAGAATAAAAGAAAAAGAAAACTTCTCTAGTAGGCCTTAAGAACTCTTAAAACTAAAAGTTAATAGTAGAACAGTAGTGTGGGTAACAGTAAATATATCATCCCTCGTAAAAATACTGTTAACCTCGGCTACGCCTCGGGTAACAGTATTTTCCTCGGGTAACAGTATTTTTACGAGGGATGATATTTTTACTGTTACCCACAAACCCATGTGTTATTTATATACTGTCAATAGTAAAGCGCAACGGAAATCTTTCCGTTACAAATATCCGATGATTTGTTTGATACTGATTTTAACTTTTAACTCTGACTCAGAATGGATATTTTGATGTTATTGAACAATCTGATGCATTATTAGGCTTTGATTTTGAGGAGGAGAAACTTCGTCAAATTCTAACACCTGTTAAGTCATCATTTAACCCAACTGTGCCATCAAATATCCGTACAATGTCGGAAATTGAATTAATTTTTTTCAAGTACACTGACCATATACTGCATAATGCAAGACTAATGAAATATCCACACACAATTATTAACAAAATTGTGAAAACTGATGACATTTCATCATCGAGGCCGAATAATCCGTAAATGGATTTGAACAATTATTGAATCTGACAGTGACAATAAAAATATCTTCTCACTTTAATAAATAATTGAAAAAAGTGAACAGATACATTCCTGGCTGTAGAAAATTAATTGTTTATCATTTAAAAAAAACTATTGACATTGTTTAGAATTATATGAAATTTTCACGACACGAAGTCTAAATGAAAACAATTGTTGGAGGCATTGCTATTTCGAAAGACTGATGTTTTAATGGTATGAATTTAATTAGTGACGAAATACACACACACTTGCAACCAATGTCGTAAGTTCCTTTTCAATGTATGAACTGGTGTTTTTTATTTGACTATTATCATCTTTTTCTGCAGGAAATTTTAATTTCGTGAGTTAAATAGATAAGAATACCTTTGCGTATACAGCTAGGAATGTTGGTCCAAGTTCCGTGTTCAGAACATCTGATTACAGTAGTTGATGTTGCATGTGTTTGATTTTCTCTTTGATCGTAATATCCATCGTTGCAATCTATTTCCGCTGTAGAATTGAATTTCGTGCCATTGTAACGCCTTTGTGCTGCATGAGCTATGGTGATGACTTTAATATCATGGCAATCTGATAGAGAAGACAGCCATAATTAAATATATCTTAATGTTTATCAGTGAAACCATGCATTGATAAGTATTTTATACCTATTAAAAAGAAAGATTGGAAAGATTATAGGGTTCACTTTTGTGTTATACTTTACGCTTTCGGCTGTTCACTTTAATATGGTTGATAAAACAATTTAAATACAATACGAGCATAATCAAAATTTTATAAAAACATATATGAGCCGTTACATGACAAAACCAACATAATGGGTTTGCGACCAGCATAGATCCAGACCAGCCTGCGCATCCGCGCATTCTGATCAGGATCCATGCTGTTCGCTTACAAACTCTATAACAAGTATAGAAACCAATAGCGAACAGCATGGAGCCTGATCAGACTGCGCGGATGCGCAGGCTGGTCTGGATCCATGCTGGTCGCAAACGCACTTTTGGTTTTGTCGTGACGCGGCTCATATGCAAAATATATAGTTGACCTTTTGGAATGCATTTGGGAATATTTGTCCATGTTCCCGTGTAGGAGCATAATAGTGTACGTTTTGATACACCCGTTGTTTGGTTCTGATCAATATCGTAGTAACCTAAATCACACGTGACTTCTGCCGCATCGTTGTATTTAGTGTCACCATTCAAAAGAGTCCTATAAGCTGCATGTTCGATCCTGACATTCTGAACGTCTCCACAATCTTAAAGATATGGTATGTTCAGATATAAACATTAAATATTTATACAGTAAGAAAGTGTATAATCTATAATAAGGTGAGAAAAGTATATTAATTAATGGTTTATAAAATACAGAAACGCAATTTATAAACATTTTTATCATAGCTACATGACACTTATCATGTTGTTCGTTTACTGAACAAAACATTGAGGACGTTCAGCAATTTTCAAGCTATGCACCTACAACGTGCTTTTAGCAACCTATTCACTTATTCAGACATTTAAATAAACTGTTTTCAGTAAAAGCATTTTAACATCAAATAAAATATTTAAAAAACAATAATGTTGAACATCATGGTTTATTTCTCTCTTCTTTTATTGTCGTAAGTTTAGTGAAAATTCATATAACGGTTGGTGTCTCGCATAGTGCGTTAGAATACGTCAGTATATAAAACTATATATCGACATATATATGTGTGTGTCTATAGATCTTTCCTTTTTTCTTTTCCATTTTTTCTTAATTTTATACCAGAGTGTTAATCTATTGTAAGTAAGTTAGAAAATAAGATCATATTTCAATATTTGGAAAACATAAATTTACTAGCCATTTTTAGATATCTTTGATTTTCATTTAACTTTTGATGTGAAAAAGTAAGCGTTGCACAGTGCATGATGTAAGTGATCGATGCTGTCATTGGCACACAAAGTAAACATAATATTTTAGAATTACACAAACACTTTTAATGGCAATAAATGATACTATATTAGCACAACCTTGACTAGAAAAGAATATTTTGATAACTAAAGCTATGATATTAAGAAATGAAAATAGTGAATTATTTAAAATAAACATAACCTTTTTGAGTGCATTGTTGTAGTATAATGTACGGTTACAGTTAAAATAAGCAGGAATATAATCACGAAGGCCGATAGGTTAAGTGATTAATTACAAAGCATTTGAATGATAAACCGTGCATTATCACACTATAGTGCATGCCAAATAAATATGTATATTCGTCTTAACATGCTTATGAAAAAGAATTGATAAAGTTATGTTTAACCATTATTTCCTGTAAACGATTGCAGCTAAAACTTTAAAATCGAAGCATTAAAAAAAGATCATTCAGCGGGAATGTTATACACCAACATGTATAAATGGAAGTTTTGTTCAACTGTGGTGTTGTGTCAAGAAAATATGTTACAAGCTCATTACTTTTATGACTGCAAAAATAATTAGCCAGATTTGTACATGTAAATTAAACAAAATGTATTATGACAGTGATGACGTCAGCAAGGCAGCTACACATAATTTAAAACTTTTCAATTTGATAACAAAAGTCAAGGTTATTGCAATATATTTTTCACACATGTACACATTTAATTTTTACCACCTTTGCAATGGCATAAAACTTTGCTTCGGTAATTTTAATGGTTTATAAATTGTTATTCTACATATAACACTTAAACAAAATGTTTGGTTTTCTTTAATCTTTCTTCATGGGCATTAATTATATTATTATTATCTTTAATTTCATTAATTATCATTATTGTTGTTGTTGTTGTTGTTGATGTTTTGTTGTTGTTATAACTATGATGAATACTGTAAAATAAATTTGAATGATGTACTTTGCGTGTACTCTCGTATAATATGCTCTTGTTGTTAATATTTCATTCAAATAAACAATTGTTTACCAACCGAATGTCAAGTTTTGAAAAATGTATGCTGACGTAAAATACCTTTTTTGACACAAGTTGGTAAATTTTCCCAAGTACCATTCTCGCTACATATCACCTCAGTTGTTGAAATGCCCTCTGTTTGATTTTGGTTGACATCAGTATATCCAATCTGACAAGATATATTAGCTGTTGAAGGGTATTTTGTATCATTTTGAAGCAACCTGTATTCTATGTTTGAAAGGCCCAGTGTTGACAGGTGTCCACAATCTTGAATGTAAAATACATTTTACAACCATGAAATGACCGGAATGATTATTAATGAACTGGAAAAAATGTAAGAAAAACTTTTGAAAAAAAAACTTTACCAATTCTAGCACAATCTTTCACTTTGTTCTACTTCCCATCTTGTCCACATATCATATTGAACTGATTTTAGAAATAATCCCTATCGGAGACCACGTGGCCAACACCACATGTAACTAAAGCATAATATTCAAACGTCGTATCGTTGTTTTGCCGATAAAACTACAGATGCAGTATTATTGATGTTAAGATTCGCAATTAACCCGCAGTCTGAAAAACATTTCAAGCCACATGTACATGCACTTAAAAGATTTCGTTAAAATCAAATTAGGCTATAGTACTTTATAGTATGGCCTACTTAAGTTTAAATATATTTAGCACATCTAATACCCATTCTATTTGAACAATTTAACAATTTCAAAATGTAAATCTTTGGTGTTTTGATGTAAAAGACTGTTATGATGTTTAGAAATTACAATTCCAAGTTTATTATTATTGTTCTTAAAGGGTACAATAATTTGACTTCTACAGCTTGATTAGTTGTTTACAAAGTTCTACTTCCGAAACTATATTTGATACAATGGCGTTTCATTATAACATTGAATTACCGAAAAAAGTAAATTGAGTTTCTTAAGAGACAGAATACTTTATGTAATTCATGCCAATTTGCAATATGCTTTATCATAAATAAGAAGAAATTCACTTGTATCTCGAAGATTTGTTTTTTAATGACATTATATTTATTAGTTATATCTTAAAGTCATATTGTCAGTTATATTTAGCGGGCAAATAAGAGAGGATGATATATATAATATTTGTTATTTAAATAGAGTTACATTCCATAGATATAAAGAATATCAGATATAAAATATATTTCTTTTTCTAGACAATCCCTGATATATGTCACGTTACAATAACCTGTTATAGTTAAATATTGATAACGTTAGTAGAATTTTTACAAAATATAGAACTGCCGAATGTATAGCAAGAATATTCCAATTGCAACTTGGTAAAAAGCGTGTTTATTTTGACTTAGAAACTAGTTTAACAAAATAAGACTTGTCAAATATACATCATTTTTGTTTTAACAGACTGGGTCTTTTTTAATGCCATCATCCATTTCCATTTTAATGGTCAAATATTTATAATTACCGGTAATGTTAATTGCGATGTTTTATATCTCTCCTGTTACATTCTTTTGTTGTTGATTTTATACAATCACTAACAAACGAATATCATGTTTTTAATATGTTGGTTAACAGAAAATACTGAAATCAAATTTTCCAAAGTTGTTAAAAAAGATAAATCTTGCATTTGTGTATATAAGAATATATCGATTTCACATGAATAATAAACGTCTAACAACACTACCTTACAGTTCTTGATATCAGTTTATTTACATAATTTACAAAATAAATTTCTGTATCTCTGTAAAATTATGAAAATCATTATTTAACCTAGTTGCATTTATAAATAACTCATTTCTTATATCACCAAATAATGAACGCTTAAAAAGGATATGAAACTATTATTTATAATAAACAAACAAATAAATAAATGAATGAATGAATGCATGCATAAATAAAATAATATATGTACAAAAAAACGATAATTTTCATTCATGCATCATTGCTTGGTTATAAATGGTGAAATAAGCTTAATTAAACTATTTAAATTATTTGCATGAATTAAAAACAAACATAGCAGAAGTAAAGTATGTCTGATTAACTTAAATTATTCACACCAGGTATGTTAAACGACATCAAACGTAAAGTAGCTAGTTTTCACAAATTTAGCCTTACTTTCGATTCTTTCTAGGATCTCTTTTCATTAAGCAATACATAAACAAAATTCTTGTTCGCAGATAAGTTCCTTTACAAAATACTCATTTCTGCAGGTTCTGGAGTTTCAATTTCCTTTCACCGGTTTAAACAAGAAAACCTGCTAACAGAAGGATGGGCGGAAGGACAGATGGACGAACGGACAACCAGGTGCATAACAATATACGCCGACATTCTTTCGGGCGTATAATAACATAAAAAGCTAGTGTGAACATGAAAGGATAATGAAAAAACGCAACATTCGTCAAGTCCCCTAGCACAGACTTAAGCGGATCTTGAAGAAGCATGGGAAAAAGGCGAGAAAAGGCGCACGTAAAAAAGATGACGTCAGACGTTTAAGGGTTACGAAAAGTCCATGCAATAAATGTAATTAAACTTTGAAACCACCATAGCTGGTGAAACTTATAATAAATCTTTTAAGAAATGACATTTGAGTCAAAAAGTGCCGCCGAAAAAACGCAATATGAAAATATGCACACACATTAGTGACCGTCTACGATGCATGGTTATTAGTTCGCGATTCGGTTCTTTCAGCATATACATTATATACGACGTCGTATACAAGTATTTAAGTCAACCAAAGTTCGAGAATTTTTTTTTGCATAATCAGAGGTATCTATATTAGAGGTAACATAATTTAAAGCATTTCAGGGCCATTTTTGCAGTATCTGATTAATTAAGACAATTTTGGCCACCTTGCTACTCAGCATTATTTTTTCAATAAGGAGCGAGTGAATGATTTTGAATGAAGTTCAAAATGTGATTAAATGTCAGTGACTTTCAGCATGGCTGCTGTCGTTGTATTAACAGTAGGCACTTTGACACAAAAATTTTAAATAGTAAAGAAAAAATCCAATACCTGTGCCAAAGCCAAAACGTGACTCAGAAATACTTAAAATGATGTCAGATTAACGACAGCTTTACGTTATGGCACGTGAGTAGTTCCCGTACAGGAACAATACCCGCACTTTTCGTATAAACACATAAGTTTTACTTGCGTTCTTATCAAATCACGCAGATACATGAACTAAACAAAATCTACTTAAGTGTCCTCTCGGCAAGAAGGAAACAAAGTTTTCATATTAAATCACATTCATCACACGTGACTCGTAAACATTGGGATTGCATAGACATGAAGACATGAAGACAGCAAAAGTCTTCATATCTTATATAGTGTATATATTATCCATCAACAAGACAGGGAGCATTTTGAACTAGATTTTGAGCTGACAATAATGGATCCGTGCTTAAAAACACACAACTCCATAATAAAAACTAGCTCTAAACGTTATTGTTACACATAAAGACAGTTGTCAATCGAACAAAACTTTATCATCTTTATTTTGTGTAATTATGTTTGTTATGTTTATCGGAGGTTTCTTGCTCTTTTGTTTAACCGTGTGACATATATTTGTTGACAACCGTTTCTTAGACATTGTAGCATAGGTATTATAGACATTTTCTACGTTGTTGCTGCGGCCGTCATGTCATTATGGACATCTTCTGGCCATTTTTGCATAATGGCGAACAACAATCTAATATTACTTGTAAATAATGTGCTCTTGCAAAATGATGTAAATAACTATCCGTATTTTTTGATGAACTGTTGTCAGGTGCAAATAAACTTTAAGATTTACATGGAATAACAATGCAACATCAACACATCATTATTGAAGATCTTAATATGCTCGACAGACAAAAAAACAAACAAATAAACAAAAACAAAACGAAAAAGTAAATAGAACAAAAGATATAGACTACAGTTTCAGATAAATCTTAAATAATTCTCAATTTGGCGCTTCTAAAGTTACCCGTTTGAGCTTATCAATACTATAATTATGAGTGTATTTGTCATACTCTTAACAAGAAAGAAGAACATGGCGTCATTTAGCAAAGTCTTAATTGTGACAATGCTTTTGATAAATGTTGTTTTCAAAAGTGTCTAGTGATATAAATGTAGATTGTTTGATTTACTTAAGACATATATTTTGCAATGATTTTAATGAGTTTTCAATTAAACTTAAAAGACTTGACACATGATATATAAGACCGATTGTAGCTCTCGGTGTGTGGGAGGACTGTTTTAAGTCCGTTCAGTATCTGCACGAAAAAGAGAACGGAATCAGATCCGTTCAAGCATACAACTTCAAAAAAATGGCACTAAATGTTATTCTTACAAATAGAGATCATAAGCAACAATTAATATCATTTCTGTAAGAATATTTTGCAGTAATCCGTATCCTTCAAAGGGCGACAAGAATGGCAAGCGACCTTGCCTTAAATGTGTGTTTCACTGCAGATCCTAGATGGGTTCTAGGGACATTACTACTAAGTTGCTGTTTGCCGCACTTTTGGTAAACAACAATCAAAACAACAATGTCCACGGGTTTGTAGCACTTTGTGGCATTTGTGGACATTATCGCATAATGGCGGACAGCAACTTAATATTAACCCTTTATTTCTAACAACATGTAGCGCTCATACAAAGTCTCTTTGTCACTGTCATGTACATTTATTGATCTCCTATTTAAATTTATGACACAATTGGACCTGGTACATCCATGACGATATTTACCTGGTAAACACTTTGGTATTGAACCTGACCACTTGCTGTTGTTACATGTCCTTGTAAGGCTTCCATTGATCAAAGAATGTCCTGCATGACATCTATAATTCAATATAATATGTGACCCATCCCATGATAGAGTCAAATTAGCGTTTTTCGGTGGTATAGATGGAATGACACATTCTTAAATAAATAAACCAAACAATCAATTATAATAAAGACTTTGGAAATATGGTTGAACACTCAATCTGCAAAACAGAATTAATTGTTAGGAATAACGTTAGGAATGTAATTAATACAAGGGGGTCATACGATGCGCGCGCATCCCCAAATTTCTGAACTTTATCAACTGGTATTTTGAACAATAACGAGTCACATAAAACAATCAGAATATACTTGAATTTAATTTCTTTTGAAAAGATGTCCTCACTTCTAGTTTTTGTATTCCAAATGCCTTGACACAACTCTTCCATTCTTGTCAGTATTTTTCGTTGTATGCGATTTTGATTCTGGATACTGCGTACACCCGGCGTTGAAATGTTACAGAAATTGAGAAATTGTCGAATAAACTTAACGTTTCAGACGGGTGGAAGTTAGTTTATTTCTATTTATAGTCTATTTTTAGTTAGATTACTATATCCCGTCCTTTGGGGGCATACAATTTTCATTTGACAAACTAAAAGCCTTACACCTTGTCATCGAGACTAGTAAGGCAAGTTATTTGCTAAGTTATACATTATACCAATGCACCATACAAGGTTTACTACGTAATATAGAAATGACCGACAAAAAATCATTAAATATGCAAATGGCTCAAGTCAATATTGCCAAACAATACTTTGGTGAATTCTCAAATTACATAATCTTGTTATTTTTTAAAAAAAAAAAAACGTATCTTATAGAAATGTTTGACATGTAATTAAACATCGATAAACGATTTTGCAGTAAAACCATGAACAGCGGATCGGGTTAAAGTAACTTATGATCGTTTGTAATGGGTCATACAGCCTGCTAGGCATCTTAATAATTAAAACATACGTTTTGCTCGTATATTTTTAATAAGATATGAGATAAACACATTTAATAGTAGTCAAACCTTTGCATAGACCGCAATGTTTACGACAGTAGACAAACGCAAACAGCCTGTCAGAATCGCATATATTGTGTTGATCATATGTGTCACAATCACTAACTTCATCAATGCAATTGGCCTCAACTAGAAATAAAAGATATATTATTGACAACATATGTTTAGATTTAACCACTTCTTGGTAAAGAAATATTAAACATAGATTTTGAAATGCATACGTTTTTTCTTACTATAAACAAACAAGGGCAGCATTGTCGCAAAATAAGTCGGCCAAAAAGACTTTGATAGAGATGTGTGCATTATAGATATGCATATAGGAGATATGCTCTGGGACATATCCGGGCAATATCCGGACAATATCTAAATATTTTATCATCTCTAGTGACATTAACCTGACAAATATTACCCTTAATTATATGTGTAACACTTGTTTTCATGAAAGTTATCATTTGTGATACAATCCATCAATAAGTGGTGACTAAATGGTCCCTCTCTATGTCACCTTGACTTTGGTAACAGGGACTAGGATTATGTGCGCAATATTTAGCTTTACAATGGTAGTCATGATAAAGACCATTTGTGTTTCAATCCCTTAATGATTGATGTCTAAATGGTCCGAATTTACATTTTCATATTTTTATCTGAACTTTGACACCTATGTGTGACCTTGACCTTGGCCACAGGGATGAAAATTTTGCACAAAACACTCTCTCTGTGAATATTTGTGCCAAGTTATATTGAAATCCCTTTATGCATGTAGACGTTTTGCCTCAGACAAGCGTTTTTCAATGTGTGATCTTGACCTTTGACCCTATGAAGTTTCATAAGAATCCCTTTATATGTGTAGGAGATATGCTCTGTCTAAAATCTCGATATTTAATCATCTTGAGTGACCTTGACCTTTCATATATAAACCTTAATTACATGTTTCACACCCGTAGTCATGATGTTCAATCCCTCAATAAATGATGACTAAGTGGTCAATATACACATTTTCATATTTCTATCTGTAATTTGACCCCTATGTGAGACCTTGATCTTTTATGCAGGGATTTAAATTTTGCACGCGACAATCCGCCGTACACTGGTAAACGTTTGTGCCAAGTCATATGAAAATACCTTTATGCATGTAGAAGTTTTGCTCCGGACAATCGTTTTTCAATGACCTCTGAGTGTGACATTGACCTTTGAATAGAGCTCTGCCATATGTGCGCAACATAGTTTCTTATAGTGGTAAACATTTCTAGGAAGTTTCATTTAAATTCATCACTGTGTGTAGGAAATATGCTCCGGAGAAAAATCAGACGCCGTCCGCCTAGAGACCATCCGGCGCAGTGGGGAAACTGTAATACGACCCATTTTTCAAACGGGCGTATAAACATTAATAATGTGTTTTATAGAATTGCTATTAATAATTAATTGAAAACATATGAAGCTTAACACCTGACAGAATATCGCTGAATGTTAAACTAATTGTCATTAAGATAGCAAAATGTAAACCATGTGGTATTTTGACTTCCATATTTTTGTGTATTAAACTCTAAATAATCACTATAACTTAACTAATTACCAACATATAAAAGAAAAAATGATGTCTCAGCTAGATAGCTTTTTGTAAACTAAAACAGTACACCAAAAATATAGAGAATTGATTGCCTTTGCAAAACCAAAAAGAAAATAAAACTAAATTAAAATTCTGAATTGAACTCCTTTTCTCCTGGTTAAAACTATTCATGGAAAATATTTTTATCTATATTTATTCTTTTCAAAGTAATGCGCATTAGCTTTCAAAAAAAACGACAAAACTAAATCATGTATTTAACATGCCGTACCTTCATCCGAACCTTTTACAATCCATGCAAAGAAAAGCATCAATATTGCCACTTTTAGTACGATTTTTAATTCTGTCTCCATTCTATTCAGTTTTTACATCATCTGATTGATAATTGCAAACTTTTTTCAAAGCACAGAATGAAAATTAACTTAAAAGCACAGAAAACATTCTCTTTATAGTAAAGTTAGTTGCTGCTTTTATAAAACCATATCTTTTCGTTCGCTTTATTCTAATTACAGTTACAGTGCCATTGCATTACATATCGCACACGTTTATCAGCTTATCTCAAGTTTAAAGATCAAGAACAAGAACAATGCAGTAGAAATTGCGGTTAATTGTTTCAAAGATAAAGCTTTTTGAATGTTGCCTATTAAACCTATTTCAAAGAAGAAACTTCTTTTTAAAGATGTTCCCCATGTGGTTCCCTTACAATTTCGACATAATTAGGCTTGTTTTGAGCAAAGCAAAGCTAAATTTGATAATTTTAAACGTAATTCAAAAGACAAAGCCTACTATAATACTGTCAATTTACTGATCACCAAATATCATCTCGATCTTTTATTTCATTCGTAACAGTCTGATAATTACGCTTCTTTCTACATGCAAAACTGCTTTTGATGATATTTGGATATAACCACATCAGTCAACACTTAGATATTGTCTGTAACAATCCTCAAGTATGGTTTTTTCTTGTGAATAGATGTAAATTTATCAAATCCAAAAGAAATCCCATTGTATTCGTTCCTCGCGTGAAATAAACAAATATAAAAATTAACGGTCGCTAACATGACTCAGGATAGCCTCAATAGCTCGGAAATAATTTCGGTGTAACTTTTCATCTTCTAGAATTGTTTCTTTTAATTATTAAAAGAAGCGATCATTTATATTTTTAAAAGCAATATCATCCTTTAACTTGGATTTTTGAAGTTATTGTTTTCAGCTCTAGACTTCATTTACGAGAAATTCGTCTGAAATTAAGCACAAAGAAGAATTGAAACACGAAATAATTCTTGAAAAAGTATGAATGATAATATTGCAGAAAATTAAGCTACGGATAACAATCGTTTTTTGTTTTGGTTTTTTTGTTTGTTTATTTTTTCTTTTGTGTGTGTGTGTGTGCGTGTGTGCGTGTGTGTACGTGCGTGCGTGCGTGCGTGTGTGTGTGTGTGAATGTGAAGCATATCGATAATCATTATGAATGAAAACCCTCTTGATTTATTATAGTTTTTTTTTAATGTTTTCAAAAATATTTTTTCATTATCCCTAATAAGTGCATTTTCATCTTATATAGTTTCGTTCATGATCATCGGCTTTGTTGATAACAAGTTTTAAAGCTAATCTGTATCAAGATTTACTCAAATATTCCCATCAATTGCCTTTTGTTAAGATCTGTTAAATGTTTGCAAGTTGTGTTATCCATCACTATAATTCCATAAGACCGCCAATACTGAGCAGACCCTTAGTCTATTTATAAATGTGTGGGTCTGATATACTGACCGAGGACGATAGTCTGATGCCGATATAACTTTTATTATGTCAGACGTCAACACAGATCAAGTTTACCGAATAGCGATTAGTTAAACGTTAAACGATATTGTTTTAACTTTAGTTAAAAGAAAATGCGAATTATATATAGACTTAGTTTAATTTGTACATATTTGCAAAGCTCTGTGAATTAACAGACAGAACGAAACCTATTTCTCAAATTCTACTGGTATCTATCAATCAACAATTCAATTCTAACACGCTTCTCGCCATGCCCTTATCAATAAGTGTATTATTACACATATTATCATGCATCTGCTATGGCAACTGCCCTGATGATCATTTATCATATCAGGTTAGTAGTCTGATATTATAAATAAGCTCCGCCCATTTCACGGACTTTCTCAATAGCTGATATATTCTCATTCTCATCAACTTTGAAATCTACGATTCCATGTTA